ATTCCGTTGATATTATGAAGGCCGGTTTGAGACGGTCTATTGTTACAGTGACGCCACGGCCGCGAGCGTGTATGACGAACGTTTTATCTGATCTCTTAACGACTCGGAAGGGGCCGTCATAGGGATGCTGCAGCGGGGCTTTCGGTGCATCATGGCGGAGAAACACATACTCTGAGGTAGCAAGGTCCTTGTAAACAAAGGTCTTCCTGGTACCGTCCTGTGTACCAGGTGTGGGCTGCAGCTCTTGCATGTGTTTCCGCAATCTTTGAACATATTCGGGCGCTCTGTCACCTGATTGGGCGTTGCTGGAAGTCAGAAATTCTCCCGGTATCCGGATTGGCTGTCCGTAGAGCATCTCAGCAACGGTAGCCTGGATGTCCTCTTTCCAGGCACAGCGAATACCTAGGAGGACTGTGGGAAGAGCCTCTGTCCATTGCTGGCTGTTGTGACATCTGATGGCTCCTTTTAACTGGCGGTGAAAGCGCTCGATCATGCCATTTGCTGCTGGATGATATGCCGTGGTTCGTAAGTGAGTCGTACCAGTCAAACGGTTCAAGTGTTTGAAAAGGTGGGACTCAAATTGGCGGCCTTGGTCAGTGGTAACCCTGAGAGGTGTGCCGAACCGACAAATCCAATGGTTGTAAAAAGCGCCTGCTACAGTTGCTGCTTCTTGATCCTGAAGAGGGATGACTTCAGGCCAGCGAGTGAATCGGTCGATCATTGTGAGGCAGTAACGATATCCGTCACACAATGGCATTATCACGATGTCTATGTGTACGTGCTCGAACCTGGACGAAGGTGACAGGAACGAACCAACAGTTGTTGTGACATGTCGACTCACTTTTGCCCTTTGGCAATCCAAGCAACTTTTTGCCCAGGCTCTGCAGTCCTTTTTAACTGAGGGCCACACAAAACGTTGTGTGACCATCCTGACAGATGCATTGGCTCCTGGATGCGAGAGACGGTGTATGGAGTGAAATGCTGTTTTCCGGAAGGGTGTGGTGATAAACGGTCGAACTGCTGCGGTGGAGACATCACATACAACCATGGAATCTGTTCCAGGGATTTGCATGCGTTTTAGCTGCAGGGAAGAGTGTTCCTGTTGGAATTTCTTGAGTTCGACATCGTTTTCCTGCGAGGCAGCAAGGGCTTCAAAGTCTATAGTAGATTCTAACTCCTCGATACGCGACATAGCAACCGCTACTACGTTTTGTTCACCGGAAATGTGTCGAATGTCTGTGGAAAATTGTCCAATAAAGTATAAGTATCGAAACTGTCGCGGCGAGCACTGACTAGCTCTTTGGCGGAAGGCAAATGTGATGGGTTTATGGTCCGTATACACTGTGAATTGCCTAGCTTCCACCATATGACGAAAATGTCGAACAGACAAGTATATCGCCAAAAGTTCGCGGTCGAAAGCACTGTATTTCCGCTCTGTGGAACTGAGCTTTTTCGAAAAAAAACTGAGGGGTTCCCACGAACCGTTGTTCCACTGCTGTAGCGCGGCACCAACAGAATAATCTGACGCGTCACAAAAAATAGCGAGATTTGCATCAAATTTTGGGTGGGCCAGCAATGTAGCCTGTGCAAGGCTCTCTTTACATGCCTCAAAAGCCGCGGTTGCTACTGGTGTCCAATTCACAGGTGCTTTACCTTTCACATTGTTCTTCAGAAGTTCATTGAGGGGAGCTTGACTGGTGGCAGCACCAGGTAAAAACCTTCGATAAAAGTTCAACATACCTAGAAACTGTCGAAGTTTTTTAACAGTGTCCGGTCGCGGGAAAGTTCGAATTGCGTCCACTCTATCGGCCAAGGGTCGAGTACCTGCCTCGGAGACTCGATAGCCTAGGAAGGTAACTTCTGGTTGACCGAATACGCATTTTACGGGATTGATAACGACGCCGTACATAGCCAAACGATCGAACAGGATTTTCAAATGTTTCATGTGTTGTTCTGGGGATTCCGAAGCAACTAAGATGTCGTCTATATAAGCATAGCAAAAGTCGAATCCACGGAGAACTTCGTCAATGAAACGTTGAAAAGTCTGAGCTGCGTTTCGCAGGCCGAATGTCATGAATCGGTACTCAAATAGTCCAAATGGGGTTGTAATCGCGGTTTTCGGAATATCTTCTTCCGCGACCGGAATTTGATTGAACGCGCGCACCAAGTCCACTGTAGAAAAAATTGTTTTACCGCGGAGACACTGAGAAAAGTCTTCAATATGTCGAACAGGGTAGCTATCTGGAATCGTCCTGGCATTGAGTCCACGATAATCGCCACATGGTCTCACTCATCGCCTTTTTTTGGCACCAAATGCAAAGGAGCTGCCCAACAGCTTGCTGAAGGTCGAGCAATTCCTAATTTGAGGAGAGTGTCGAATTCTTTCTTGGCAGCTCGGAGTTTGTCCGGAGCAAGGCGACGTGGTTTCTGAGCGACTGGTGGTCCTGGAGTTGTCACAATGTGGTGCTTGGTTTCATGTTGAATATTCTTGGGAGTCCCTTCAGGCCGGGTAATGTCTGGAAACTGGTTCAGCAGGTCATGGTATAGGGAAGAGCCCACTACAGTTTTTACAGACGGTATTTCGCTGTCTACTACTACTCCTGGAAATGTGAGTGTCGTAGTGGAATCAACTAGGCGGCCGTTGGATAGGTCAGGGAGCAGTCCATAGTGTGCAAGAAAATCTGCTCCTAGAATTGGCTTTGAAATGTCTGCGATGACGAACCTCCAGGTGAAGTCCCTCCGTAGGCCAAGGTCAAGGGTGAATGTACAGGTCCCATATGTCGATATATTGGTTCCATTGACCGCGGAAAGTACGTACGATGACTTTTCACGTGGTTCACGGAGGAGATGACGAGGGTAGACGCACAGATCTGCACCTGTATCCACCAGAAACTGTAAGTTCGTTGACCGGTCGCGAACAAATAAACGGCGGGATTGAATTGGGCAATGGCTACCCGCTATTGACGATTGCCCGATTGGTTTTCCGACGGCCAGCTGCATGGTTTGGTGCAACTATTTGCTTTACTGCCAAATTTTTTGTGATACCAACATACGCCGGATTGGGAACTTCCTGGTGTACGGGAGCGTGGAGGACGGGAACCGGATCGCGATCTGTTTCGCTCCAAACTGTTCAATCGTACCTCAATTGCATCTAGGCGTACGATCACTCGCTCTAGATCAATAGCAAGCTTTCGTATATCGCTGGCATAGTTGATATCAGGAGCTGATGTAGCAGAAATGGTTGAGCGTGACGATAAAATATCGTGCACGCGATCAGCGGTTTCAGCTGCTTCGCACAAGGTATTACTTGTCGAGATTGCTACGGTTGTTTGAATCTCGGTCGGCAGGCGACTTTGCCAAATGGTACGAACTAGCGATTCTGGTATAGCTGTACCTGCCAGATTCTGAAGACGTCGAAGAAACAGAGATGGTTTATCGTCGCCCATCTGTTCCTGCTGAAGGAGTTGCTTCGTCTTTTCTTCCTGTGACGTACTGAGTCGCTTAATCAAGCCTTCTTTCAGCCGCTCGTAAGAGCGATCGTCGATAGGTTGCACAATAATGTCTCTCACTTCGCTGCTGTACCGACGAGGTAACGCCTTAAGGACACTCAGGTATCGTTTGGCGTGGTCGTTAATCGACTCTGAAGTGAATTGTAATTCCACTAGAGTAAACCAAATCTCAGGATCAGCCGGGTTGAATTCAGGTAGCGACGTTGCGACCGTGAATGTAACAGGGTTGACGGCTGGTGCATTGGCTTCGTTGTTCACCATGTTGGCTACGCGTCACTTCACAAAAAATGTCACTCGCAAAAAAATACACAATCACGTCGGGGTCACCACTTTGGCGTTTCAGTGGGGAAGAACTGAACACCTTTTTGAATATTTGCGAGGATCTTTTTGGCAGTGCCGAAAGCTGTATGGTAGCGGTTGATATGATGTATATTTACAAAATGAAAAATAGTGAATTCGTAGTCGAGGCGTCTCTGGTCAGTTAAGCTGTCGCGAACCGAGTAACCACTTCGAGTGTCGAGAAAAGACTTTCATTCTTGAGGGTTGTTTTGAGAACATGAGATCGGTTCGAAAACCCTAGCACGTTTCTCAGAAAAAGAGAAAACCTGGTAGTGTAACTCAAATTGAAATGAAATAATTAAGAAAATCCGAATCATTTGTTTGGTACCTCCAGATGGAATTTTATTGGGGTACGCTAAGCCTGAGAACACGATCATAAAACTGTTTCGACAAACAATATTTGAGTTTTGGGAAAGTCCACATCTGTTTTGTAATTTGTAAGCTTAGAGATCGCCTCGACTCAAAATTCGATGAAGATATATACAGGGTGTACCATTTACATGATAATAATGGATAATATTTACAATTGATATCAATAGTTATTTACAAAGTGAAATCTAAATATTATATACATATGACACAGAAATATACAGTGGAAATATGATTTCCCACAGTTCGAACTCCATTTTCTCAACTGAAAACCTGCTCCCTTCAATATTTCAGCGAGTTCGCGGTAAATTTCTAGTGCCTCCTTTATCGATTCTACACTAAGCAACAAGTCATCCTGACTATTATTAACGACAGCTGGCATATTTAGGCCTGAAGAATATTTTAATCCTGTGCCTCGAAAATTCTTGGTAGTAATAAAGGCTTAAGATTTTACAGTCTTATGTGTGTATTTTTCGAAAAATCACTTAATTATTGTAAAATATAGAGTTAGAACTCTGGGTAGTGATTAATTAATACATACTAACCATCGAAAGCGTACATTTCGGCAGTGAAAATATTAATATAAAATTACAATGATCAGTTTGAGAAATCTTAACACATTGCCCTTGTGAAGAAAATGGTTAAAAACCGCTTTGTACCGTCAAGATTAGTTCAACTATGTACTTGCATTCATATCTTAACTTCGTTTCAATGCAGCAAAAACATTCCAAATGCGTTTTTAACTATTTCACTTGAGATGGCTGAGACTAATTGTGAGAGAAGTTTCAGTGAAATCAGTGAAATCATCCACATATTAGAGGATCACTCATCACCTCAACAAGAACAGCAAACTGAGCAGCCAGGGGCAACCACGACCATCCAGCCATCTGTTGCCCACTATACCAAAACCGCCCAGCCAGCTGTTGCCCAACCAATTTCGAGCAAACCGATTAACACCGCCACCAGACCCAACACCACCCAGAGAGTTACAAGACCCAGCAATGTCTTTGGAGATCTGGATAAAGATCTAGACATAATTCTTCGGGGGTGCGCAGCCAACTAGAAAGAGGAATTAGAAAAGGAAGCAGCAGACTTGCTAGAGGGGGTGCTTACTCACACTTCAGGTAGGATGACTGTTCTGAAAGGACAAAGAATGAGAATGTCAAAGAGAATAGCCTACTTGAAAAATTCTTAAGCCTCCTGGTTGAGGATATGGACCCGGTGGACCAGGATATGAAATATGTAGATAGTCTTTTGAAATTGCTTAAATAAATAGTCATTAACTTCCACTATTATGATCAGTTTGAGAAATCCTAACACATTGCCCTTGTGAAGAGAATGGCTGAAAACCGCTTTGTATGGTCAAGATTAGTTCCACTACGTACTTGCGTTCACATGTCACTTCGTTTCAACACAGCAAAAATATTCCAAATGTTTTTTTTAACTATTTCACTTGAGATGGCTGAGACTAATTGTGAGAGAAGTTTCAGTGAAATCATCCACATATTGGAGGATCACTCATCACCTCAACAAGAACAGCGAACTAAGCAGCCAGGGGCAACCACGACCACCCAGCCATCTGCTGCCCAACCAATTTCGAGCAAACCGATTAACACCGCCACCAGACCCAACACCACCCAGAGAGTTACAAGACCCAGCAATGTCCTCGGAGATCTGGATAAAGATCTAGATATAATTCTTCGGGGGTGTGCAGCCAACGAGAAAGAGGAATTAGAAAAGGAAGCAGCAGACTGGCGAAAGGGGGTGCTTACAAACATTTCAGGTAGGATGACTGTTCTGAAAGGACAGAGAATGAGAATGTCAAAGAGAATAGCCTACTTGAAAAATTCGTAAGCCTCTTGGTCGAGGATATTGGCCGGATGGACCAGGATATAAGAAATGTAGAAAGTCTTTTTAAATTGCTTGAATAAAGTCATTAAGTTCAACTATCATTTTTCATTTCACTAGGTAATTTTTATACATATCTACATTGAACTTTATTAGTCCTTTAGTCAAAAATATAATAAATGTGAAAAGCTTCTCTTTTGAGTTTGCTATGCCTTAATAGATTACTTATTTTTTATTCTCTATGGAAATTCAGTTATACCAAAGATTCATGTGTCCAGCTTACTGATGATAGTCTGGTAATAGTCTGGTAATTATGAGCACATGACGATCTGGCGACCATGCAATTAAATTCACATTTGAATTAACCTAGCTCCACAACATTTCTGTATAATGTTATATAATTTAGTCGACATTTTTGTTCAATACAATACATCTATGCTCACTCAAAGAATTGTAAACTAGGAACGGTCCATGTTGCCTTGATAACCCAACATAATTACATTTTGTATCGTCTCTTATACTTATGAGTCATAAAATATATTTTTGTAGGTACATTGGTAAAGTACTGATATTTATCCAGTTCACTTGGTATGTTGGACTATTCTTGAATAAAACTCAATCATTTTCAATAGATTTAATTGAAGATATCTAGCAAAATATTCATAGATAAAAGGGAACGCAAAACATGTAATAAATCCACCTTGAAATGCATTAATCTCACACAGCAACCTTTTGTTTCTTCATTCTTCAAGATGTTCGTCTCATCTTCTGACTTCCAATATCCTTTATGAGATTAGGATATGGACAAATCTTTGAATACTTCAAGTGGTCCTCAATAGGAATATCTTCATGATTCCACAAGTGTATTTCAACCCCAAAATAAAAAAAAAACATTCCACATCTTCCATTCCTTTGAAATATAATACTGCTTTAGCCAGTTCTTTAGGTTGAAGATTTCCAATCCTATTTGTATATGACAGTAGCCGCTTATCGAATGATTCATACCAAGATCTTGGGATAGAAAAATCTTCAATACAATACACATTTTCAATAGTGTTGATTCGTTTGAAGTCAATATGACTAGTATAAATGTATAAATGATGGAAAAATTGAATTGGTTGTTATAACTATGTCTTGGAAATGGGAGGTGCGTTACAGAACTCTCATAGCGAGGGGGGTGTGGGGGTGCTGTCATAGAACTCGCATAGCAGGCGGCGTTGCAGAAGTCTCATAGCAGGAGGGGTGAGAGGTGCCGTTAAAAAATTCTCTTAGGGGTGGGGTGGGGGGTGCTGTTACAGCTATCTCATTATTCCCCTACTATAACTATACCAGTGTAATCTGAACTGTACAGTCAGATGCAATTAATGAAGGTCATTTATTTTTTGTGATATGTGACAGTCATTTATATGTCTTTTTTGTCATTTATGGTCATTTATGGTCATTTTCATTGCTTTACTTTCAATGTTGATATAAAAGCATCAGACAAGTGATTAAAACATTAGCAAATATTGACATGAACTTAAACGTATATTTATTTGGATTATACTAAGAATACACAACCAATTTAAACAACAAAAATAAAAATTAACGCATATTTCTAAACAAAAACTATATAGGTTTCTAAAATTAACTAAATATCTTTATAAAAAACAAAACAAAACCAAATCTTATAATGTAATATAAAAGTCTATAGTAATATACAACTGGTTAACTAAAGTTCTTCCTCAGTTGGCTCAGTTTCCCATTCATCGGCATCAAAGTCATCTAATGAATTAGAAAGAGCTGCTTCCATCTCCTCCATTAGGCTGACGCTTTCCTCAGTCATATCAGTATAAGTACTGGTATAATCATGGCCATGATCGTTACCTGCCTCGGTTATCGTGGAAGTTGAGGGGTTGGTTGATGTTAATGTTGATTCCTCATAACGTTCCTCATCATTGATAGTCTCTAAAATTTTATATTATAATTATTTTAGCATGTTTCTTAAAATATAAGTATAATAATTAATTCCTGGTTGATTTTGCTGCATACTTGAATTGATGATTCTCTCTGTACCAATTGAACTTGAGCTATAATCTATGTTCAGATTCTTGTTGCTGGGGCATGGAAATAATTTCAGATTGTGATTAATATATTTCAGCATTCCTGCTCTTTTTGTCGTAAGGCGATTTCTAGTTTTCGAATGAATATATCCGTATGAACTGAAAGTTCTTTCCGTCGCTGCTGAACTAGCTGGCATACCAAGTACTGCTTCCGCCACATGCCGAAGTGACATTTCAGTACATATACCCTTCCAGTATGTTAAGGGTAAAATGTGTGGATTTTTTTCACAATCTTGTACAAATTGTAAGGCCCAAAAACCCTCATTACTTCTGTACTCTGCAAGATTTTCAAGTAGTTTACTTTCATCAACATAATCTAAGTACACAGCTAGGGAATGGATGTAAGTTAAACCTCCTACGATATCTTTCTGAGACAGGTGTTTTCCTAAAATAATAGAAATCATGAATGAACTAAAATATAAAAAAATATATATTAAAAGTAATGATCTTTTAACGATTTTCTATTTACAAAAGTTATTTGTTTATAGTCCATTATTTTTTTTAATGAATAACTTGTGTAAATAAAAAACCTATTTGTTACCTTTATATCGAGGATCCAAAATGTTTGCAGCAAAGTGTATGCCCCTTAAGCACATCTTTTTCCTTTCTTGGAAACATTCGGTAACTTTTTGTTCCTCCAGCTTCAGTAGAGGAAATGTGTTAAAACCATTTTCAATTTCATAAAAGGCAACTGGTACTTAACTGATATTACACTTATCCGACTCCAAACGCAATATCCACTTCTTCAATGGTTGCAATAAAGTTAAAAAATGTTCTATTCTCGTCCAGAATACATCATCAAGAATATCATTCTTGTTACGTCTTTCTAGTAATTCTTGGTATTCATCTGTAATTGCCATTGCTTTAAGTACACCTTTGTTTTTTTGGAGGCTATCGAAACTGGTAACTATTTAATAATATAATAATATATGTTTATTGCAACAAATAGAAATACATTATATAGGTACATAATATATCGAATCTGTTACAAAAGGTACATAGTATGCATAGCATATTTACATATGCACCTGTTGATAAAGAAAAAATAAATAAATTAAACACACAGGATACAAAGAATACAATAATTTCAAAACAATAGACCAACAGAAAAAGAAAGAGAACAAATCTAGCAAGAATATTCACATTTTCAGATTTTCATCTAGTATGAATTCTTTGAGTTTGTCTTTATAACCCTTCGTGAGACTTCCGTGTGGAATCATGTTATATATATGTGGTGCTTGGTAACTAAAACAGTTCTTAAAGAATTGCGTTTTATGCCTTGGAATCGACAAGTTTCCTGAATTTCGAATGTTGAGTTCATGAATGTCTCCCCTTCTGATTAGCAAATTAGATAGGTATGTTGGGCACTGACTATTGAGAACTGTAATTACCAAACAACTCATGTGTAAGAATCTACGTTCACCCATATTCAGAAGATTGGCATTTCTGATGTATGGTGTTATATGATCCCTTCTATTCAAATTGTAAATATATCTAATGCATGAGTTTTGAATTTTTTGAATACGAAATTTATTGAAAACCGATAAGAACGGACCATACACACAATCCATATAATTCGGAATTGACAGGACAATTGATTCAGTTAGCCTCAGTTTAGTTTGCATTGGTAAAACGTTTCGATATTCGATTCTAGTTCTAGTTGCAACTGGAAGTTTAAGAGTGCAGGATTCTGATTTGTGCTTTTCCTTTGATAGTCTTTGGAATGCTGAACTCAAAACGGATTTATTTTTTATTACTTTTATAATAGATTTTGAAGCATTTACTACAGATTCAGTAGTCTTTAATTTAATGATGTCAGTGACTAGCAAATTCAGTGTATGCGCTGCACAACCATAATATGAAATTGGTTTATCCGCATATCTGTTTTGTAGTAAATCCCAAGATTTTTTCATGTTTGCAGCATTATCTGAGCAAAATCCAATGATTTTGTTAATTCCAACTTCTTTGAACACAATTTCTATTTGATCCGCCATATACTCTCCAGTATGTCGATTTTCTTCTGTTGACAATGATTTATAGAAAACAGGTTGGGGTGTTGTTATAACAAAATTAATTATGCTCTCATTCCTTATATTTGACCATCCATCACATT